AACACTATAGCAAAGTACTCAATGTAAATTTTCTAGAAAATATTTTTTATTACTTTCATGGTGCGTTTCTATTGATACATAACCAAATTCATAAATAGGTGGTGGCTAATCCCTGGTCTAGATTTCCTCGGAACATTAAACCAATATTAAATTAATTAATATTAAACCAACTCTCACTTTTGTCTACTAAGTAATTTTCAACCTTCCTCCCGAAACATGTCGATTTATTTTCACTTATTTATTAGCAACAGGTTCATTTCTAATAGGAGCAAAAACAAAGTTTAGGAGCAGTGGCGCTCCTTGTGAAAGAGTTCGTCCACCGAAGTACTGCCACCTTACCTATTACTGCTTAGTAATGTGAACGTTACTGCGTTCCGGTTTAGAAGGGTAAGGTTGCTGGTGAAATTACAGGCACATTGGACTTGTTAACTTACACCTCACCTTAGGGTGTCGGGCGCAGTGGCAGTGCCCCGCGGATCTTAATGATTTAAAGCTCCGAGTGGCACTAGAACTGTTAGGGACAGGCGTATGTATCGCTTACCACCCGGCACACAACTTGTTCGGCCAATCACTTAGTAATATAAAAAAATAAATAAATGATCTTAGGATCTATTTGTAGAATTTTACTACAATACGTCGTCTAATTTTCAATAACACTAAAGAAAGTTTTTTAAAGAAATTGTTCTTAAATTTATTTCACGCAAATTGTATTAATAATTATTATTAAAAGTAAACAAAATATTTCTCTAGTAGATACCACGCCAACAGCAGGACTCAATTAGCGTGGTCATCAAGAAAAAGTTCAGATGTTAAAATCGTGTAAGGAAGCTTTGGATCCTTGAATTATGGGGAATTCCGTTTGAAGAAGCGCACACTGCTTGTAGAAAGAAATGTGAAGATTTTTGCGAGAAGCTTTTTAAGGTGCCAAAGTCAAAAAGGAAAACCTATGGCCCGACAGTGCTCCCGCACTGTCGTTTTCTATTTAACTTATATTGTAATAACATACATACATCAATGAAATACTTTTCGAAAAAAAAAAAAATGTGGAGCCTTCCCGCTCGATAAACGAATTTGCCTTACACCCTGCTACATGTAAGGAATTGTTGAATAATAACTTTAAAAAGTAGTTAATAAAATTATGACATCCAGTAGAACACCTCGAGATTGAAGCGTCTCATGTAACCACATGTCATGTTCATTCCCTTTTAAAGACATTGCCAGTAATCTCCCTTAATTTTTGAAACGAAGGTGCAATAAAATAAATAACCTGGAATGTTCCTTTTGGCGTCGGTTCAGCGAAAATTATAACGGAATTCGTATCATAAATCCTCAGACGTACAAGTATTTCCAATTCCGACAAGGAAGACAACGGAACTCTACCTATCACATCTGGTACAATACAATGCAATCCAAAGTATTGGAAGTTCCACGATTGATATTTGTTTTATGAACAGAGTTGAAATGGTGGCTGCATTATGATTGCTCTCAAGATACATACCAACAAATAAAGATGAAAAAATTACCTTTCTGTGATAAACATTATATCTACTCCTCATTAGAGTAATTGTGTGGTCATTGACGATTTTCACCATGTGTAAAAATATCAAGAAGCGGGTTGAGCAGAGTCGCTAGCATACGATTGAGTGGGTAGTGTGCCAATACACAACTACATAACAATTAATAACGCACACACACTCAACATCCCCGCACTAGGGAAACCCTATGTTGCAGGTGCCATGGACACACACATAGACAACCACAAATTACACCCAAACACACGAGAGAAATAAATGTAGGCCATAAAAGTATTTCTCCCGGCCCGGGAGTCGAACATGGGACCTCTGCGTGGCAGTCCGGCACTGTGGCACTAGTTGTCAAAAGTCCGTCGCTAATTGCTCTTGCGT